ATTGTTATAGCAGCTACATAGCAAAATACCGTATGCCATACGGAGAAAAATATGCATAAAGTATAAAATTGTAGTAATAATAGTAATACCAACTAAAATAAAATAGCAGAGTAACAATTGAACGATAGAAAGTGTGATAAAATAAAATACAGAAAGATGAACAATGAAAGAGTCGATTCAATGTGCTAATTACATAGTAACTCATGTGTTTCACCTCTAACAGAGTCTTCGTCACATAAAGTACAGGCTAAATAGGGTATTGTAGAATTTCTGTACTTAGTGGTACGAGCATATAACTTCTTATATTGACTTCTCGTCCTACTAGATGAGATACAAGGGGACAGGTGTGAATAAATGGGGTGCAGAGGGTCTGACAGTATAGCCTTTGCCCATTTTGTACAGGAATTTATGTGTCTCTCGACTATAGTATTGGTGAGCTCACGCAGTGGCATACCTCAAGCCTTACTCACAGCATTTAATACTCTTCGTATTATGACATAATCTCTTTTGAGAAGCCCAGGAAAGATTAATGGAGAGCGATAGAGTACAATAGGTAAAATACAGGAGTTTAAAAATTGCAAAACTAAAGGTTGGTTGATACCTGATTGTCTTAACTTTTTAATGTAGAAGGTAAGACAAAACATTTTCTTAGAGATAGATAAGATGTGGGATGACCATGAAAGGTCAGAGGAAAAAACTAATCCAAGGTATTTAATGCTTGACTTGGTTTCAATTTCCGTGCCATCTATGCTACAGGCATCATGCGAAGTAACTAGTTCATGTAAGTCACGTCGATGCTTGAAAGTAAAGTCAACTGCCTGACATTTGGAAGGATTTAACATATGACCATTTGACTTGGACCACTTGTTGATATCCAACAGAAAGCTCTTAAGTTTGGAGCAGTCAGACTGGGAAGTGATAGGCAGTGGTACAGTCAGATCATCTGCATATTTGACAAAGTTAGTTTCGTTTGAATGAGGCAGGTCGTGTAGGAAGAAAGAAAAAAGAAAAGGAGAGAGGACGGCACCTTGAGGAACACCGGCTTTCGCAAGCGAGGCAGAAGAAAATTTGCCATTATATACACTATACTGCATTCTATCAGAAAAGTAGGAATGCAACCAACTCTTTGCCCAGGATCCTGTTTGCATCAACGATAGCTTATTTAACAAAAGGCCCCTAGGTACAGTATCAAAAGCAGATGTGTAGTCTACGAAAGCACTACAAACATATTTGGCACCTTTGTCTAAACAAGAAACAACATTGTGATATAAGACAGCCGCAGCATCCAAGGTACTTCTACCATGTTTGTATGCAAATTGTTTAGGATCATTAAAAGGTTTCAATGAAGGTTCAAGACGAAGTAAAAGTAATTTTTCCATCAATTTTAAAAAAGGAGAAATAATTGCAATAGGCCTAAATTTAATATCAGTACCAGAAGATGGTTTTGGTATGGGGATAATTTTAATGATTTTCCATGCAAAAGGTAGAATGTTGTCGGAAAAAGAAGCATTAAAAATGTTAGTAAGAGGGTAACACAAAATATCAGCACAATTCCTGAGGAAAATGGCAGGTATGCCATCAGGACCAAGGCTTTGAGAAGGCTTAAGAGACCGGAGACATTTAAGCACATCAAGGGTATTAAAACCACTAAAATTATTGTCAATATGATTTGTATCATTAGGAAGGATATCAATAGAAGAGCGTATGAAAGACTTATTAAGAGTGTCGACGTTAAGAGATGGGACAGAAGTACATCGCTTACCGCTAGTAATTTCTTTGAAAAGCTTCCACAAATTAGAAGGGGTTTTACATGACAAAAGTCTTTGGTTATATAAAACACTTAGTCTTTTCATTTCGAGTTTTATCAGAGTATCTAACTTTTTTACACCTGACTTATCATTTGTTTTGAACAACAGATTTTATCTCTACGTAGCTTTTTGAGATATGGCGAAGAGAAGCTATCAAATCGAATGAATAATGTTTCTTTAGGACAACATATTTCGAAAAAGAATTTAAGATAATCAGTAGTGTTTGTGATTGTTTCATCTAATGTTTGTTCTGTAAATAAGTCCCAGTTAGTGTATTTCAACATCCATCTGAGCTTGTCTAGGTTGTCTTGTGAGTAGCATCTCCATTGAACTTTACTGTAGAGGTGAGAGAGGACACCTTCGTGTGATTTGGAATATACTTTAGGCAGTACACGTATGATGCAGTGGTCAGAGTTGTTAAGTAAAGGAGCACGTTTGCGAGCCTCATATATGCCAACATCATTGATAAATACTAGATCCAGTGTTTTACCAAGACGGGTGGCAAAGTTAACAATATTGTCATGACCAAGTGATATAAGGAAGGAGTGATCGCATGAATTAAAATCACCTGTTACTACTGATAAAGAGTTCTCAAAACAAGCTGCAGCAAAAGCGGTGAATTCATCAGCGAACAAAGATAAATCCGATATGGTACAGCCAGGAGAGACATAAACATTAGGTATATAAATGAATTTGTATTTTGACAGGTGTTTCGGGCGACATGTGATGAAATTTAATTCGGTCATTCGAGAATTGGAAACAAACTTTGTTGGAAATGGACCATTTTGATTGAATGAAAGTTGCAACACCTTCGACACACCTTTTCTCGGAGCAAACACGGTCTTGTCGGAATACATTAAAATTATTTAGAGACACTATTTTGTCATCATATGTGTCATGGAGGCGGGTTTCTTGTAGGGTGAAAATACCAGTATTGTGGTAAATTCCGGACGACAACAGGGACTGAAAGTCCAAAATTTTGTTAGGCAGGGATCGGCAGTTGGTACTAATGATAACTGGAACAGCGATGTGATGTGTGGGTGTAGATTTTAATGCACGCTGCCAACCTCCATGGTGTTTTTTCTTGAGTTTATGGCATATATGAACGTTTTTGGGTTTAAAACGTTTTATAAAATCCCGGTAGTAGATAATACGATTAGAATGCATAATGTGATATGTATACACCAGTAAAATATGAGTAAATAGATGCAAAATATACATAAGAATATGGTAGCCCAAAATGTTCAAACAGGCCGTCAAGCTCACTCGATGATTAGTCCATATATTCCATAATAAACTTGAAGAATCCCAGAGCTTACTATGAGCGCCGCTTAATGTTAGTACTCACTTATCGCTTTTCCATCTCCATATCATTTATTCAAGTAACTAAAGAAAAGTGTTCCCAAAGTGTTCGTGGACAGATTTCTTAGGATTGCTTCCATGAAGTCAGGAAAACGCTGAAAAATCAAAGGACGATTGTCGCATATTTTATTAACATCAGTTTCTAAACTCGTGATCAAGCCTAGGTCTATGAAATCACTTGATAAAGTCTTTGTTCATTTTACCCGTTTACAGGTTGAATTTCATAGTCCTTCACGAGTATGTGCTATTGCTGGTGACGAGTTCAAAAAAGAGAAAAAAAACATATGAGAAGTCCGGCTGATGCCATAAGTTCAGATCTCGCTTACAAATGTGTCTCTCCGTAATCAATAGACAAAGAATTGAGAATAGCAGGCAAGACAGAATTATGTCGTAATGGCGTATTTAAGCTCCGACCCCGATGTGTTTGTTTTATATCACCAATAAACAGGTTGCACTTCAAATGAGGACAAGAATCAGATCACCCAAAATAGGAAATATATTTTGGCACTAGTTTTTCGGGGTGTGAATGCATTGTTGGCTAGCTGGAGATCGTTCAGGGACAACCGGACGTAACCAGACAAAATGCCAGATAGCGAGGATGCCTCACTGTTTAGCAATTCACCGCGAATGTTTGAAGGCAGCACCCAACAGTAAATAACGAAATCTGTGGGATAATGATCTCACAGAAATATTTCCAGATGGACAACTCTCTCATTATTTTCTGATTCCTAATTACTATGAGCCTCCCAAAATTTACCATATGGATTGATTGCATTTAGTTTTGGTTTCGTGTGTGACTATTACAGAACTTCATCTACTTAACAAATGAGGCAGAAGTTGATTGAAAAATATATTCGCTTAAATAACTCTTGTTCGGACATTTTTTGCATTGCAAAGTTTAGCATTATTCGAATTAAAAATTGTCTCATTAGACCTCAGATATGAGTAAAGTAAGGATATATTTACTATATGGAGATCTTCGTCACGTTTGTTTTGTGAAATATAAGATTTCTCGTTCCGCAAGGTGAATATTCTCAATCAATTCCTGCTAATCCAAGCGTTTATACTCCTCACTCCGCCACCCGGACTTCATAAGTGCCAACTGAGTTTTCAGACACATCAATGCCTTGACATTATCCAACTGAGTCAGCTTATGCCCTCCACTTTTACACTTTGCAGGCCAGTACGAAATACAACGCAATCGCCAATACGATAAGACATTTTGACAAGATTTTTCAGGCAGTCGGTGCATCTTGTCTTGCGTCGGTGGCACACTGGTTAGGACTCTCGCCGACCATGCACATGGTCCGAGATTCGATCCCCTGCCGACGCACACCTGATATCTATGGTTGGCCTGCGAAATTTGGGCTACCGATATCCATGTTGAAAATTCCATACTTGTACCAAAAATACGGGGTGGAATCAAGCTGTAATCAAAAACAAAACACAAAAATAAAAAATAAATACATATATTGTTATTCATAATCCTTTTACATTCGATGACTTCGTCATAACAAGATTAAACAACTTTACGGCCTTAAAAGCCTCTTGCATTTTTCCCATTGTCATATGTACACTTATGGAGTTTTACCACTTAACACACCAAATAGTGTATTAGCAAGAAGTCATACAATGGTAGAAATTGGGCAATGGTATATAAATACGTCTATTCAGAACCTTGACAGCTGGGTATTTTAGGCAACATATTCCCGGAAAAGTTTAACTTTGGACTAACTAAGACGCTTGCTTCCGAAGTGTTTAAAATAGGCCTTGATGCAACCTCAAGAATTCCCGGCCAATTTTAAGTATCAATTCAAGGTCATAACGTACATGTCGAGATCCATATTTTCAAGTGTTCGCTTAAGGGAGCTTTTGCGTTGTACAGATGCACGCAGTATGATTTTTAGTGTTTTAATGTTTTTTTTTCTGAAGGGAAAATAATACCTTTTTTCGGCGTTGAGAACTTTGAATGTAGGAGGAATCAAGCATATCATTTGCATTCTATCATGGAACCAGTAAGATAGCTATTTGAGTCTTCATACTTTTAGAGCTCTCCACCATTCGCTTGTGACTTCTCTCCAAGTATGAATGTTTTTATTTTATAAGTTTTAGCACTTCCCGACCGCATTTTGATTGCTCAAGAAGATGGATTGGTACATTTGTATGATACATCTGTCACAGGACCACAAGCATTTATTAGATGTAAGTTGAAGTTTTTGAAGCAGCATAAGATTGTTCGAAATGTGTGTTCTAGAAATTTGACTTAATTTTACTTTCGGGGACAGTCTGTAGTAAATTTCCAGCATGTTAGATAACTCAGACTTTTTGCAAAGGCAATAATATCTCTGGAGAGCTCATTTTTTGTTTTCATTAGTGTATTTTAAAACCAGAGTCATTGGACTCCTTGCAAGTTTATGTGTTTATTCCTGACTCTTAGCACCTGTTAAAAGGCTAGGACTTTTTCTCTCCTGAAAATGGTAGTATCATTTAGGGTTTTTAAGTATCACAGTGAAGCTCTACTCCCACTTTTAAAACCACAAATTATTTGGCTACCGCTTAGGAATTTTGAAGACATATGTGCAAGGATGCTATTGAAATCAAAGGTTTTTCATTAGTAAACTAACATTTAACTGGGAAAAGCTTTTATGGGGAAAACCTTTTTATTGCTTAAACCGATTAATAACTGGTCCGTAAGCTGTAGTCTTCATGACCAAGAATAATCGCAAGACGGTTGTGCTTCACACTGTTATTGTATCGAGAGACTAAACCATGTCGACAAGAGGTTTAACCCGACTGTTGTACTGCTTGAGTGGCTACGCCTTGTCTTCACTGGTTGTAACAGTAAACAAGTAATAAAATATTTCTAGCGAAAGTTACGTGGTGTTTGCAAACAAATAAAGTGGTTTCACAGTATGGTCACGGCAAAAATGTCACCTAAATATGTTTATTTCCTCCAGTTTGTAGTAGTATATCCCTACAGTCTTACGAGATTCAACTCGGTGGTTTAAATTTCCATACGTGATTAGTGACCAAAAACTTCATAAATTGGTCTCATGCGTTGCTTTTATCATCTCTAACTTTTTCTTTTATAAGTTCTGTTTTTTTAACATCCCTCTTTCAAGAGAACTGATTCGATATGTGTGACATTCCGGTGTTCGTCTGTATACTTCTTTAATTGAAAGTCAGTATTAAAAGTTATGGAGTAAGAGAATCAAATTTTAATTTTAGGTCATAAGTTCTGCAGCATACCATGACTCATTGGTGGTGTCATGTCCCAGAGGAAAATTGTTTCTCATCTGCTTTAAAGTGTCAGCGTGATCACTTACCCATTTTCTTCATTTGGTGATGTGAAATATAAACATGTGTCAGGATTTTGATTCACTTGCCAAATTTTTATAGTTGTGAATTCTTTTTCTCATGTCATTTACCTAAATTTCAGATTGTTGGTAAGTCAGTAGCTGTCTACTTTGCACCATCCTTCACAATGTGATGCAGATATCTCACCTTTCATTAAAATAATCTGAAGAGAGGACACAAAATTTTTTCATACCTTGGATTCGTGATTTCCTATGTTAATTTCCAGAAATGTTACTTATAGAGGCTCATAAATTTGCATTCGTGTGCTTTTTCAGAGTATTACATAAACAAAAATACATCGGAGAAGGAAAAGTAAGCAAACAGACTTGTGTCTGTGTTTTTATCTGGCTGTATGCTTATTTGCATCGGTGACAGCAATAGAATGTCTGCCAACCACGCCTTATTTGGTTCGGGTTTTGATCCCGGCTACGAACGCGCCGTCGACCAAAGGGCGGGTGTACTGCTCATCAGTCCGCTCCGTCCTCCTTTATGGCCAGCTGTGAGGCCTGGCCACTGAGAGTGGAAGACATGAAAAGACTAGCTGTCTTTGATCATAGGTGCCTGCGCTCTATTTCCCGTGTAAAGTGGCATAATAAGGTGAGCAACATTGAAGTTAGGCGTCGAGTTCTAGGTAAACAGGGGGAATCAATCGACGAAGTCGTGAAGTTACAAAGACTGAGATGGTTAGGACATGTGCTACGTATGCCAAGCCATCGCCTCCCTCGACGAGCAATGTTAGCGGATATAGGGTCAGGCTGGAAAAAAGCTAGCGGTGGTCAGACAAAAACTTGGCACCAGTCAATGAAATCCACAACAGTTGGTCTAAGCCACGTAGAAAGGTGTAGACTTCCTGACTGGTTGGGGTCCTCGGGAGGGTAAAAACCAATGGTTGGAAACAATCGGTGACATGGCTCAAAATCGTTCTCAATGGCTTGTGCAGATGCATCCACTCCTTGTGACTAATGATTTCCAATGAAACTGTTTTGTTCTTCGTTATTACTCCTCCTTTGTCTCACACCTCTGTTTACTGTCTCTATTATGCGTTTCTTGTACTTTCTTCTCTTGCTTCGTGTGCTATATGGAGGGAGTGTGGCGACTTGAACTTCCGCACATTTGTGCAAAGTTCTATGTCGAAAACAGACAGAGACAGACGAACGCACTGCCAAACCTCGCTAAACCAATTATAAGCCTGGTAAAGAGGGAAGGTTCATCATGAGGTTAGCAACCCCATCCCGTAAAAGTAAACAGCATTGCTATAAAAACTTCAAACCTGTAGCTTGGAGCTCCATTTCCTAGTAGGAGCGTTAAGGAATAAAAATAGTAAAATAAAAAAAAATATGCTTGTTTATTCAGTACATCTAGCCAGATCTTTTAGGGTTTGTGTAATTTCACATATAGTAAACAACCTATCTGTGGTATTACTCTAGGCTAAACGTTTTCTCTAGATTTGCATAATACTATTTCATTCTCATTCAACTTTTGACATACAATCACCCATTGAATCGCAAGCGAAAAAGTGAACGCTTATCGCTTTTTTTGTATTGATTTAATTTCCTACTAGATTATGAAGCGCACAATAACGCAGTCTTCGATGTCAAATGGCTCTGTTCGGGGTCGAGTTTTCTGACAGCTTCTGGTGATCAGTCTGTCAGGTTAATAGATGCTGAAACAGGAGCCAAAATACAACAATTCTTTGGACACATTATGTCTGTGCGCAGTATTTCACTTATGCCCAGTGATTGTCGTAAGTGACTTTTTTTTAAAAAAAAATCGAAACTTATTTTAAAAGTGCTATTTATTTTGCAGTCATTTCCGTTCACTACTCGGAATGCCACCAAAAGTTGTTGTGTCCGGTAAAGCTGCGAAGAAGGCATCCAAGGTGAAGGTGCCAAAGACTGATAAGAAGAAGAAACGTAGGAGGAAGGAGAGCTATGCTATCTACATCTACAAAGTTCTCCGCCAAGTAGATCCAGATACTGGTATCTCCTCCAAAGCAATGTCAATTATGAACTCATTCGTTAACGACATCTTCGAGAGGATTGCAGCTGAAGCCAGTAGACTGTCGCATTACAACAAGAAGTCCACTATTTCTAGCCGCGAAGTTCAGACAGCTGTTCGTTCGCTACTCCCTGGTGAGCTGGCCAAACACGCTGTATCAGAAGGCACAAAGGCGGTCACCAAGTACAGTGGATTCAAGTAGTAGAATTGCAAACGTGACTGACAGAATTCAGTCAGCACCAAAGAAAGAATTAAACATATCACACTAGTTACTAGTGTTCAATCAAAATACGCATTACATTCCTACAGGAGGTCAGTCGCGAGCTCGAATAGCTCAGTGGTAACGTCTCTGATCGCAGCACTGCGCTGGGTGACGTGGGTTCGGATCTCAGAAGGGACATAAGTTCCTTCAAGGTTTCAGATACGCCTAGCTGACTGGTGAGTGCCAACTAGCACGAAACCTAAGTGAAGTATGCCTTCACGTGGCCGATTGCCTCATCTTAGTTATTCTGTACACTTACTTGGTAATAACAAATTATCACTAACGGTTGTGATATTAGTTTCTTAGAGGATTTTAATAATATTTACTGTCAACATTTCAATAATAAGACGATGTTTTCCTTTTTAAAGCTTTTATGATTAAAGAGACTCCGTATTCTTAACAAAAGAAATCAGCAGAAAATCCGCACAAAATTCTGTATTAATTCCGGGAATATGCATTTAAAGTACTTGTTTGTGGTTGGTATACTCTTATATATAGCGTACGACCAGTGAAGATATCATACTGTAAATAAAATGTGTAGGGAATTGTTGTCCTCATGTAGTTTCTTTTGCGTGAAATAATATCGTGCATGTCATACTAGTGTTAGATTACATCGGTCAGAGTATCACTAGACTTCAGTATTATTATAGTTATTATTCTTCCCTTGCGTTCCATTCCGTTCCGATGGGAAGATAGGGCTTCAGCAGCATATCTTTGTTTCATCGAGTTCTCTACCATCATTTTCAGTCGGCTCCACACCTGCTGACAAGCTTCCACTTACTCTTCATGCTATCTTCACCATGTTGCCCTTAGGCCCCACTCCTTATTTGTCTCTACCCATTTGGATTCCATTGAAGGACCGGGCGTCTGGTGTCACTTTTATATGTGTTTCATCAGTGTACATGTTCAGTCTGTCTTCATCTACTTCTGCACATTGGTTGGATAGTAGGTTCTAGGTAGGTTGTTGTAAATTGCTATTATTATTTCCTTTAATTCCTAGAGGAACATAGGGCTTCAGCTGTACGTCTCGATTGCGTTCGGTTCTCTGCTAGTTTCCACCTACCTAGCTCCAGGTCTACCTACATGCTTTCATCTTTTCTTCACATGACCTCCAAGTCACCCTTGGGCGACCAACTCGCCACTTCCCCTTCGGGTTCCACTCGAGGGCTTGTCTAGTGATCTCACTTGATGGTTTCCTCAGAGTATGGCCAATCCATCTCCATTTCTTCCTGCCTATTTGTTGCACAATCGGTTCCTGGTTGGTTCGCTCATTGCCAGAGATCCCTGTTGCTGATCTTTTCTGGCTGGTCATCTGATCTTGAGTAGTATTGAGCGAAGAGAACTGTTGATGACGGTCTGTAATTTGTTCGAAGTGCTCTTCATGGCGCGTCAAGTCTCTAATCCATAAAGCAGCATTGACTTCACTTTGAAGTTGAAAATCCGGATCTTATTTTTGATGCTGAGTTTTTGCTGTTGACCTCCACACAGAATTGAGAGTAATGAAAGCTTGTCTTGCTTTCCCAATCCTCACTTTGGTCATATCTTGATCAGTTCTATCCGCCTGTAGTTGAAACGATGCTTCCCAGGTAGGTAGGCAAAGGAAGTTGTTTCTTTCATGTTCCTCACATTTATCCTGATTGTTGTATGTTGTTGCTTCTGTGGCCGTTGGTGTTGCTCAGGAATCTTCATCACTCCTGTTTTCTCTATGTTTTCTCGGAGTCCTATCTTCTCTGGATGCTTCTTCTGCCAACTTGTTGCTTTTCAGGTTGTTGTAAAACTTTATATATAATAAACCCAACTTTGGTTGAAATTGTAGTTTTAGAGAAAGTGATATTCTATCACTAACATTACCACCTAGGCTTTGAATATTTTTTGGCATTTTATTTTTTATTTGTCAGTGTTAGCTAATCTCATGCAATCAAATTAAGCAACCATCTTGCTATTTCCTTTTTATTTAAAAATTCATTCAGACATTTTTGCATCTGCATCACGTGACGGTAGTATACGAATGTGGGATACTCGAGTAAAACCGGATACTTGTAATTTTCGAGGTATTTTACATTTATCTTATTTACTGAAGAAATATTTGAAATAATGCCTTTTCCACTTTTATTATTATTATTATACCAATATCAGCTGGTGGTTTTTAATGTGTAAACTAGATGTAATGAGATTTTCAAGCATTGATTTTGTAGGGATTTTGTTTGATTGGTTGGAGGATTTCATCACGGGTTGACATCAGTTGGAGAACTATTGGAAAATCTGCAGGGAGTACTGGATAGCCAGCTGCTTCGTCCTAGTGCTTGGGACTCTTCATCAGTGCGCACACACCTTACTGGGGTTCGAACCCAGGACCTTCTGGTTACAAGGCCAGCTAGCTTGTATACCATTAACCCACTGGAACCTCTAACCAATAATTGAAAATTGATCTTATGACCACTAGCGACTGGCCTCATTTAGGCGGTTGCCTAGGGTTATAGTGGGAAGCCGTAACCATTAGATTACAGCAGGTTGAAGGTGAGGCAGTAACTCATCGAAGAAAACATTGCGAAGTGTTCGCGTTATCTTACGAATTGGGAGAAGTTAGAATTCATGGGGTGGTTATTGGATTGGGTCCTGGTGGCTTAATGATCCTGGGTTTGAACCGCGGTGATTGGGTGCGTACTGCCGAAGAGTCTCAGAGCAGGACAATAATTGGATTTGTAAAATGTATATTCAAATAGGCTGTTTGCATAACAGTGTTGATGAACTCGTAAGTATTCAAGGCAGTTATATACTTCATGCAATTTTTCCCTTTAATAAACTTGAACAAAGCAAGAACAACAATTGTACCAGAATAATATGAGCTCATCTTTTATTATTTCGAGGATTCTTCTCAACTGGTTACAACCTGAACGTTAAAAAAAATTAAGTTACATTAAAGATATGAACATACTTTTCCACGATCATAAGGAGTAATTGGTAGGAATCAAAAGTAACATTAATCCGGAATGAGCTCATATTATCCTGGTGCAATTATTTACCTTGAATTGCATATTCATTCATTTTTCTATCAAAGTACTGTGGAATTATTATACTTCACTATAATCGTTATTGAAAAAGTGAAAGTTAGGAGTATTTACATTGGTGTTAAAATAAGTAGGTGAATTATCGATTTCATTTGCATGCACTTAGCGACGAAACTGTTAGTACTGTCTGGCTGACTGAACCTTGGTCAGTTCAGTGAACGTCGACTTCGGAACGCACAGATTAATAGTTTTAGAGTTAGTCTGACCGAATCTGAATTGGGTTGAAAATTTCAGCATGTTGTAGTTTGGGGTGGGATTTTAATGAAGTGTATTAATAAACCTGATAAATGAGATTAAACTGAGGAATAGGCATATAGATCCACCTTCATTGTGTACTTCAGGGCAACTTCAGTGAATTGTGAAACATGCCAGTGGCGTTATTAGGAAAGTTGTGCTTATGGATTGAGAACTTCATTTCCTCTGGATGGCGTTTCTTAGTTGTATATACTTAGTTGTATACATGTCACTAGAACCCCAGGTAACAACCTACCTGAATAGGGCAAGTCACTAGTGAGCATCTCATCGATATTCAAGTATTCGAGCTGAAGAGTCCCAAACTAGGACGAAACGGCTGTCCAATACTCCCAGATTTTCCAATGGTTCTCTAACTGATGTCAGCTCATAATCAAAATTCTGTAATTATTTCAGTCAGTGTATATCAGAACTATGCATTTATGATGTATTAGCATTTTTCGAAGGAATATTCGTCTGTATCAGGACTTTTCCGTATGGAATAAATGGATATGAGTACATCTGAGACCCTACATCTGTCTGTCTGGATTCAACATAGAACTTGGCACCGAAGTACAGCAGTTCGAGTTGCCACGTTCCAAATAGCGCACAGAGGTAGACAAGAAGATGAGTGAAGAGAATCAATAGAGTTTGACAAGTATAAGAGTGAAACAGAATGGGTAATGGTAGAAAGGAATATGAAAGATTACAGAGACTGAATACATCTGCGCTGGCCATTGACAACGATTTTGAGCCATGTCACCTATTGTCTCCAGCCATTGATTCTTAGAGTCAGTCCCGAGGCCCCCAACCCGGAAGTCTGCATCTCCCTACCTGACTCAGTTTAACTGTCAAGGATTTCATGGATTGATGAGGCCATGTTTTTGTTTGAACACCACTGGCTCTTTTCCAACCTGCACCTATATCAGCTAGTAATGCCCGTCGGGGGAGGCGGTGGTTAGGCATGCTCAGCGCGTGACCTAGCCATCTTAGTCTATGTAACTTTATAGCCTCGTCGATTGATTTTCCCTCTTTGCCCAACACTCTACGCCTAACGTCAACATTACTTACCTTATTAAACCACCTAACGTGAGACAGAGATCGCAGACATCTATGATCGAAAGCAGTCAACCTTTTCATGTCTTCAACTCGTATTGGCCATGTTTCAGAGCCATAGAGAAGGACGGAGCGAACTGCTGAGCAGTACACACGTCCCTTGGTTGATAACCGGATGTCACGCCTACGCCAGAGATGGTGTAAGTCAGCGAAAGCAGCTCGAGCTTTTCGGATCCGTGCTGAGATTTCATCGCCAATCAGTCCGTTGGTGCTAATACAACTTCCCAAATAGGTGAAGTGGTCAACATGTTCTATCACTTCACTCCCTATCCCTAAGCTAGGAGTTGACGTAGTCCAGTCCTGTAGCAGCATCTTACATTTTACAGGGGCGAATCGCATGCCAAACATACGAAGATTGCTGCTCAAGGTGTTCAGAAGACTGCATTTTGTCAGCATCCTCCCCTAACAGGACTATGTCATCTGCATATTCTAAGTCCATAAGACTATTCCCTGGTAACAAGTCGATTCCTAAGTCGTTACGTTCAGTTAAGGATACTTCCATCAGCATATCTATGATGAAGCTAAACAGAAATGGGGAAAGTAGACATCCCTGTCGGACACCACTGGTTGTTACCAATTCAGATGACAATTCCCCATAAGCCCTTACACGACCCTACATGGTAGGATTCTGCATAAAGCAGGAATTAGAGTGGCATTCAAGCTTCAAACTCACTGAGATAGGACAAGCTCTAAAGGCTGAAGGATCAGGTTGACCCAGTTAAACGAAATAATCTAATTTACGAAATACCTTTCAATGACTTTCAATGAGTTAAATCAAGTACATAGGTCAAATTAGTAGATCGGGAGTAGTCAGGCTGTCAGAACATAAGAATTTAGCTAAGGTTAGAATGGTTGACTCCACGAAGAAAACAACTCAAAAATCACACCGCATGCATTATATGTGGAGACGGAGAGGGAGAGAGAGAGAGAGACTGATTATTAAATCCTGGTTCTTCGAGTCTACTACATCCAACACATGCAATAGAAGTGACTCGATGCTAATACCAGAGGTATGGAAGATATTATTACAACCAGTCAGTCAAATCAGAGGATAATAAAGGTTAAAATGTATTCAATTCACATTAATGTATTCTAACAAGTTATTTATTTATTTTACTATAAAAGCATCTTATTTCCCATCTGATTGTATTTTATTGATAACACTAATATTATTATTATTTCCGAATGTACTTTCTCATCTTATATTGATTTTATTGAAATGTCTTATCGCATCAATTTTTACTCATGTGTGTAGACGAAGCAAGAAAGTTGTATGAGTGTGGGTGCCTTGATATAATTATAAGTAGCAATATATTGTACTTGGAACGTGGTCATCAGTCAATATATTACTGTATAACAGACACTGTGTGATTTTATCAAAATAAAAAATGTTTTCACTGTTGGTTTGTAGGGATTTGATTGATTGGTTACAGGATTTCATCATGAGCTAACATTAGTTAGAGAAAAATTGGAAAACCTGGGAGTACTGGACAACTGTTTCGTCCTAGTTTGGGACCCTTCAGCAGTACGCACCCACCGGGATTCGAACTCAGGACCTTCCGGTTACAAGGCGAGCTCGTATACCATTAAGCCACTGGGACCCGATCCAATGGTCCTTGAATTCTAACTTCTGCCAATTCACGACATAGCGCGACCGCTAGCCAATGTCTTCGGCGGGTATTTGTCCTCACACGCGACCCGCTGCATCCTACTGGTCACGACTTCCCACTGGAACCCAGGTAACTACCTACCTGAATAGGGCCAGTCACCAGTGAGCATCTCATTGGTATTTAAGTGTTTGTTTTGGTTTGGAAGGTCCTGGGTTCGAATTCCGGTGGGTGCGTACTGTTGGAGAGTCCCAAACTAGGACGAAACAGTTGTCCAGTACTCCCAGGTTTTCCAATGGTTCTCTAACTAATGTTAGCTCATGATGAAATCCAAAAATTTTTTTATCCATAATGGAGTTATACTCTAGCACCACAGTGGCCAAGTTTTATCCTTATATATACAGCTTTTACTATGAACTACGGAACAAGAACCGTATGTTTATATTGTGTGTGTGTGTGTGTGGCAGGAATTCGCCTTACCCTGGCTTTCCAAATCTCTACAAACTGGAGGCAGACTGAAATCCACGATACATTAGGTGAAAGCTGATGACTTAAATTAAAGAGCTTCATCTTCAAAGTAAATTGCTCATTACCATTAATTAATAATCTTTTATGATGAATAATTCACACCAAATCAAATCGAATAAAACCGATGTGTACTTGTGGTGTCATTTGGGTCGGCGACCATACCATACCAGGGGAAATCAATCGACGAGGTTGTGAAGTTACAAAGACTGTAATGGTTAGGACATGTGTTAATTCATCGCCTTCCTTGACGAGCAATGTTAGCGGATATAGGGTCAGGCTGGAAAAAAGCTAGCGGCGGTCAAACAAAAACTTGGCAGCAGTTGATGAAATCTACAACAGTTAGTTTAAGCCAGCCACGTAGAAAGGTGTAGACTTCCTGTTTGGGGTCCTCGGGACGGTAAAAATCAGTGGTTGGAAACAATTGGTGACATGGATCAAAATCTTTCTCAATGGCTTGTGCAGATACATCCACTCTTTGTGACTTATGATTTCCAATGAAACTGTTTTGTTCTTCGTTATTACTCCTCCTTTGTCTCACACCTCTGCTTACTGTCTCTATTATGCGTTTTTTGTACTTTCTTCTCTTGCTTCGTGTGCTACATGGAGGGAGTGTGGCGACTTGAACTTCCGCACATTTGTGCAAAGTTCTATGTCGAAAACAGACAGACAGGTGTAATTTGGAAGCAGTGCATGATTTCTCTTCTTCTTCTTTTTCTTCTTCCTACCATCGTCAATAACTGTTAGGCTCTCCAGGTACCTCAAGCGTTGGAGTTTTACCACAATGTCATGTACCTCCTTGGAATAATTTGAGTACAGATACTAAACGTGGACGCACTCCAAGGCGTGTACCGGTAAGTTGTATGAATTTTTATAAAAAAAAATTAGTGTTTTAATCGTTCAAAATGTATATATATATTCACTGCTTTTTCTAAATTTAGCAAAAACATTCATTCAGACATCTATAAAACACAAGATAATTGAGCAAAGAATATCCTTTTCGATAATTTCTTCTTCTGGCTCTACAATTGTATATGCATGTTTATATACTTAGAATATTCTAGATTTGTAGTTAATAACAATATTGGTGTTTTTTTAAAATAAAAGCGATTTGTAAAGTAAGATCACAATGGAATTACAGTTCATTAAAGATGCTTAAATAATAATAATAATAGTGGTAAAAATATAATAGCAAATAGAATATCAACTAAAATTAGGGAGATTTCTATAAATATTGAGGATCATTCAAACCTAGACGGCCAAGGTAAGGACATTGTGTGAACTAGCTTCTTTTTTGCTGGACACATAAATTAGGCTTGCTAATATGGAACCCAACAGCCAGTCTCAGCATTATTTAGTAGTCGAACTCTTAAGGCAAAATTGAGATTCATAGGTATGCGCCAAATCACCCTGAAAGCCTGGTTAACGTCAATCTTGTGTTGTGTATCCACAAGATGAGTTGAGATAGAATAGCGCTACGAATAGATTTTGTCTGTCCTTCACTTAAACACTATGCAGGGTGATGTTTGGAAATTCGACGAGAAACACGCCTAGTTGTACGGCCTATGCAATTAACTGTCTCACTCCACAGGAGCAGATACACATGAAAGTGGTGAAATTAAATAATAGTTTCATTTGGAGGTTTTTATTAACTTCTGGTTAGAATACGACCGAGGTTGTGTACAGACTTTTTTAAGTATTCAAGTCGATTATGTGGTCAAGTGTTGCTTTGCAGGGATTAGATGACTGATCTCATGGTGATGTAAATCGGAGAATCATTGAAAAACCAGGAAGTGCTGGACATTTGTGTCGACCTAGCTTGAGACTCTTCATCAGTACTAATCCACTACCCTGTAGTAACGAGAAGAGCACGTAGACCATTCAACCACTGAGACCTGGCCATGAATTCCAACTTCTGCCAATTCGTGATATATATATATATATATATATATATATATATATATATATATATAGTGCAACCACCAGCCAAATTCATATGCAATTAAATCTGCTCTTGCCTCAATTGGCGGACCTCGCTGGTGACGAAATCTCGCTAGAACCAATCTAATCCCTGCAAAAACCAACACTAAACAGTTGATCTGATTGCTCACTAGCGACTATCCCTATACAGAAAGCTACTTCTTTAAGGTCTGGTGAGAAAGATTAACCAGCGGTGTCCATTAAGTCTATGATATTGGCTGGCGGTTGCTTTAAATATATCATGAATTGATAGGAGTCGGAATTCATGGACCATTGGGTTGAGTCCTAGTGGCTGAATGGTATAAGAGCTCGCCTTGGCTTCGAACCTCGGTGCTCGAGTACCGTTGAGTCTGGTACTAGGACGAAGCAACCGTCCAGTACTCCCTAGTTTCCCAGTGGCTGTCTAACTGATGTCTAGTCGTGATGAATATATGTGATATTACTGTGAATGAATAATCGTATTCAGAAAGTCATCCAGTAAATAATGCAATTTCACTGTATGATGTATTCAAAAAGACACATGTTATGGAATTACGTTTTTTTATTGCAGTTTAAAAAAATCTATGTCAAAAGCATTTTATTATTTTATACCTTTGCATTCTCAGTGGAACATAAACCTTCAAGGTTGAGCTTTGAAGTTTCACTAGACTGTGGTTTTATTTTCACAGGGTGGGATTGCTAGTCTCACACCCAACCGAGCTTATTACCAGCTTAAGCGAGGTTTGGAATTTACCGGCTGGGGATCGAACCCCAGGTCGCTTGTGGGCATGGTTAGCGAGCATTATACCCTCTGCACGCACACACACACACATACCACCGACTTACACTCTCAAAAGCACTTATTCAATACTAGCTAATACGAGTTAGCTACGTTCTAAAAATCTTTAATGCACTGTGTTATAAAAGCCAGAAATAAAGTGTTAGCACGTGACTTATTCATACTAAAGTAGGCAGAAGGACATGTGAAAGCAAGAGTTCAGTGGTTTGAAAATGGATGATTGCATAAAATAGTGACAGTTCATTACTTTTTGTGATAACCTGAAACCTTCTTTATAAGTATTGTTGTCCTACCTTCAATAGGGCTTTGAGTAGGTATAGACTATTTACATTCATTTAGCAGAAATCACTTTCACGTTATCAGCTAAATGTACTTAAATAGGGAGTATGGATACTCGTGAGACCGTCAATGTGAATGATCAGCGTGTAGCCCACCTATCGACAGATGTTAACGCTGAACTTCAGCTAGTCATAAAAGATAGCAGTGGCGATAATCCTACGGTTAGACAACCTTCTAAAGATAGAACAGCAACAGCCTCGGTCAACAGCATCTGACGCGAACCTTACTGTATAGTGTGACAAAGTGCAGTCATATACAAATAACAAAAATTGCATTTCAAAAGTCTCTTTCACTAGTGTAGATAAAAAGGTTTCTCATTAAACTCCTTACTCAATACGATGACAAACTTTATGTTTTCAGCAATAAAGAAATATTGGTCGACAACACTTTCTAATTAAATTGTCATTTTTTCGAAAGATTTACTTAGTTGCCTGTCAAACTATGATGTCTGTTGATATTGAGAAATGCCTACCATGAGTGTATCTTTAATCTTTCAAAATGTTGCCGTAACATATGTTGATCACGAATTGATATGAGTTAGAGAGAACCACTGGACTGCTGTTTTGTCCTAGTTTGGGACTCTTCGTCAGTACGCACCCACTGAGAGGTTCGACTTCAGGATCTTCCGGCTGCCAAGCTAGTTCGTAGACTATTCGACCACTAGGACCTGATCCACGTTGACGGCTTCACTTATTTGGGAAGTATCATCAGCCCCAACGAGTTGATCTCTGACGACATCTCAGAATGGATATAGAGGGCTAGTTTCGCATATGCCAGTTTACGCCATCTCTGGCGTAGACGTGATATCCGGCTGAGTGCATTTGACATTAGGTAAATTAGGCAAGCTAGTTTTATTGAATCAAACTCGTGTGTATATGTGTGTGTGTCATTTTGTCATTATTTATTTGTGTTTGTCATCCTTACACACCCACACATGTGTCAGCTTACTTTTGAACTTTTCGTATGAGATTTTGCTTTGCCTTCCTTTTTTTAGACTGATGCTCAAAGTGTGACATCCGTTCTGTTTGTAGACGATAATACCTTTCTATCTGCAGGATCTACAGATGGGTAAGTTAGCTAGCTGTTTGAAAATATTTGCAACAGACAAATTAGATTTATATATTTATTGTATTGTATTGTGTTTCTTACATGGACATTCGGTTGTCAAGTAAGACTTACTTATAATCGCATACATACATCGTCATAGTTCAATAACCTCGTTGGTTGTTTAAGATTCAGTGTTGACGTCTGTTACAACAATGAAAAAATATTTCTTTATAATAAACTTTCATCCCTGCAGAAATTCTATTTTACAATGCTGTAATCAAGGTTTTTTGGGCTCATAAAACTATCCTTTGGATGGGACATTAGTTAGTAGTAACTTTTTTTGGTGCAGACTGAATTCTACCGTCAGTCATCCATTGCAAAACACTTATTAATGTCAGGTCACAAAATCAATAATATGTCTGTCTGTCTGTCTGTTTTCGACATAGAACTTTGCACAAATGTGCGGAAGTTCAAGTCGCCACATTCCGTGTAGCACGCGAAGCAAGAGAAGAAAGTACAAGAAAAGCATAATAGAAACAGTGAGCAGAGGTGTGAGACAAAGGAGTAATAAAGAAATACAAAACAGTTTCATTGAAGATCATAAGTCACAGGGAGTGGATGCATCTGCGCCACTGAGAACGATTTTGAGCCATGTCACCAATTGTTTCCAACCATAGATTTTTACCGTCCCGAGGACCCCAGCCTGGAAGTCTACACCTTTCTACGTGGCTTAGACCAACTGTTGTGGATTTCATTGACTGATGCCAAGTTTTTGTTTGACCGCCGCTAGCTTTTTTCCAGCCTGACCCTATATCCGCTAACATTGCTCGTCGAGGGAGGCGATGGCTTGGCATACGTAACACATGTCCTAACCATCTCAGTCTTTGTAGCTTCACGACTTCGTCGATTGATTTCCCCTGTTTACCTAGAACTCTACGCCTAACCTCCATGTTGCTCACCTTATTATGCCACTTTACACGGGAAATAGAACGCAGGCACCTATGATCAAAGACAGCTAGTCTTTTCATGTCTTCCACTCTCAGTGGCCAGGTCTCACAACCATAAAGGAGGACGGAGCGGACTGATGAGCAGTACACCCGCCCTTTGGTCGATAGTCGAACATCTCGTCTACGCCAGAGTCGGCGTAAACTAACAAATGCGAAACGAGCCCCTTGTATTCGTGCTGAGATTTCGTCAGAGATCAGCCCGTTGGGGCTGATGGTACTTCCCAAATAAGTGAAGCGGTCAACGTGCTCTACCACTTCACTTCCTATTTTTAAACTAGGCGTCGATGTAGTCCAGTCCTGTAACATCATCTTGCATTTGGCGGGAGCGAATCGCATGCCAAACATTCGTAGATTGCGGCTCAAGGTGTTTAGAAGACTCTGCATTTCGTCAGCGTCTTCGCCTAGAAGGACTATATCGTCTGCATATTCCAAGTCAACGAGATTATTCCCCGGTAGCAAGTCAATCCCTGAGTCGCTGAAGTCACCTAGGGTTAAGTCCATTAACACATCTATGATGAAGTTGAATAGAAAAGGAGATAATGGGCATCCTTGACGGACACCACTGGTCGTCATCAGTTCAGATGACAGCTCGCCGTAAGCCCTCACCTGGCTGTATGAGTACGAGTAGAGTGCCTTAATCAGTGCAATATATTTTCTCGGAATTCCCTTTACAGCCAAGCATCTCCAGAGAACTTCCCGATCGACAGAGTCGAATGCTGCCTTTAGGTCAAGAAATATAATGACTGTTGGACGCCGGTAGGAATTCCTATGTTCTAGAATCTGTCGGAGGGTGAAGATATGATCAATACACCCTCTTCCTGGTCTAAAGCCTGCCTGGCTCTCTCGTGTTTGTGCTTCCCGAGCACCACTCAGTCTACGCATGATTATTGAGCCTAAGACTTTAGATACTATATTAGTCAAGCTAATCCCTCTGTGATTATCACAGGAAGACTTGTCTCCCTTCTTGTATATGGGGATAATCAGTGACTTACACCAACCCGATGGGACTTCTTCTGATTCCCAGACGCTGCCTAGTACCTCAGTTAATCCGGACAGTAAGCTGTCTCCACCGTACTTAAATACCTCTGGCGTCATTCCATCAGGTCCCGCTGCTTTGCCTAGTTTCAGATTGGTGACAGCTTTAGTAACCTCAGTTAGTGACGGAGGACCTGTGTTTATATCCCATTCAGGGAGGTGTTGGATGCTCGGAAGGTTGAGCGTGGCTGTGGGCCAATTAAACTGCTCCTCATAATGCTCTTTCCAACGATCCACTCGTCTATCCTGTGAGCTAAATCAATAATAATTAATAGCTGTTTCACGATTATTTCACATAACTGAAATTCAAGGTTAGTTATTGAAGGTGATGGCAGCCCTTTGAGGGACTGATCACATACAGCCTAAACTATGTGTACACTAAAAACAATAGACTTCAATCTTCGCCTACCATGGACTACTTGACCTATTCAAATATCATTGGTCATTAGTATGTACTTTTGTTTGTTTTTTATTTAACTGAGTAATTGTCATGATCTTTATTTTATTATTGTTAACCATGCTCATCAGTCCGCTCCGTCCTCCTTTATGGTTGTGAGACCTGGCCACTGAGAGTGGAAGACATGAAAAGACTAGCTGTCTTTGATCATAGGTGCCTGCGTTCTATTTCCCGTGTAAAGTGGCATAATAAGGTGAGCAACATGGAGGTTAGGCGTAGAGTTCTAGGTAAACAGGGGAAATCAATCGACGAAGTCGTGAAGCTACAAAGACTGAGATGGTTAGGACATGTGTTACGTATGCCAAGCCATCGCCTCCCTCGACGAGCAATGTTAGCGGATATAGGGTCAGGCTGGAAAAAAGCTAGCGGCGGTCAAACAAAAACTTGGCATCAGTCAATGAAATCCACAACAGTTGGTCTAAGCCACGTAGAAAGGTGTAGACTTCCAGGCTGGGGTCCTCGGGACGGTAAAAATCTATGGTTGGAAACAATTGGTGACATGGCTCAAAATCGTTCTCAGTGGCGCAGATGCATCCACTCCCTGTGACTTATGATCTTCAATGAAACTGTTTTGTATTTCTTTATTACTCCTTTGTCTCACACCTCTGCTTACTGTTTCTATTATGCTTTTCTTGTACTTTCTTCTCTTGCTTCGCGTGCTACACGGAATGTGGCGACTTGAACTTCCGCACATTTGTGCAAAGTTCTATGTCGAAAACAGACAGACAGACCGTCAGTCAGGTTTACAATGTGGGGTCACCATTCTAGATGGCTCACTACCATGGTTCACTGTGAATTGCTGATATTACATTAGGTTAATAATAATAATAATAGCTTTATTCCATACAGTATGGAATTTTCCGCGTGCATTACAATATATTGCATCTAATTACCTCATAAATTTTTTAAGATTTTAAAATCAAAAAGCAACACTTCCCCCCAAAAATAGATAAATAAAAAGAACACCGTTGCGTCTACATTTTGAACAATGCACCACAGGATATGAACAGTGTAATAGTAACGAGGAAAGGAAAACAAAAACTAATGGGACTATTTGTTAGAGTGCTGCAGTAAGTTGATCGTGTCATACCTACGGATTTCTCATCACATAGCAGCTGTGCCAGATATGGTATTGTGGAGTTTTTGTACTTGGTAGTCCTAGCATATAGCCTCCTATTGCTGCTTCTTGTTCCACCAGACGAAATGCAAGGAGACAGCTGCGTATAGAGAGGATGCTCGGGGTCTGACAATATAGTATTTGCTAGATTCTTACGTGACATTATATGTCTATCCACCATAGTGTTAACCAGTTGGTTTAACGATATCCCACTAGCCCTAATAACGGATTTTAGTGCCTGCCCTTCTCAGCAAAGCAAAGTCTTTCTTAGGTAGTCCAGGAAAGATTAGTGGGGAGCAGTAAAGGGGGATGGGTAGGATACAAGAATTGACAAACTGAGAAAGCAAAGACTGCTTTATACCAGACTGCCTTAACTTGCTAAAATGTAGAACGTTAGGCGAAACATCTTTCTAGTAACTAGCAAGATGTGGGAGGATCAGGAGAGATCGGAGGAAATACTCAGCCCAAGGTACTTGACATTAGATGTAATTTCAACCTCTGTGCCGGCAATGATACTGGACCATGTGAGCTAGCTAGTTGTTGTAGGTCACGTTTACGTCTGAAAGTGAAATTAACAATGGAGGCAATCGGCCACGGTAAGCCTTGAACCTAGGTTTCGTGCTATTTGGCACTCACCAGTCAACAAAGCGTAACTGAAACATTAAAGGAACTCATATCCGTTCTTCTTAGATTCGAACCCGCGTCACCCGGTGCAGTGCTGCAGTCAGAGATGTTACCGCTGAACAGCTATTCAGACTCACGGTTGACCTCCTTCCTGTAGGACTGTAGTGAATATTTTGATTGAACACCAGTAACTAGTGTAATGTGTCTAATTCTCTTTTTTTGGTGCAGACTGAATTCTATCGTCAGTCAGGTTTGCAATGTGGTCACCATGCTGACTAGTGAGTGTAAACTATCACGAAGCTTTGGTTCCAAGGCTTCCTGTGGCCGATTGCCTCTAATCATCTAATAACATAAAACTCTTTACTACTGTCTGATTGATTAATTGAGAAAGGTGTTTGAATACTACTCATATCAACCAGCAGCAGCAGTGTCTGCTGGCCAACCAGATCAAGGTAAGATCTAAACACCTTACGGACGGCCATTTTTCTCATTTGGGACTGAGTTTGTTAGCAGTGTACCTACCTACCTACCTGTCTGTCTGTCTGTTTTCGACATAGAACTTTGCACAAATGTGCGGCAGTTCAAGTCGCCACACTCCGTGTAGCTTGACACAGCCCAGAGAGTTGAATTGGCTATGCCATCAATCAATAAGTTTTATGCAAATTTGCTTACTTTCTTGATCACTACTTATATAGTATCAAGCAGATCAAATGCCATGTTGATATGATCGGAATAACTAAGTTTCCAAAGAAAACTGAGTAACCTTCAAATAGCTAAATAATTTGCAAATTGTGAATTCGCTTGTTTGAACTCAGTTATCTGGAATAGATGTTTCATGTATATCCGGTACACATCATATCAGGCAAACGTATTGTGTATGTGATGGGCTGGTGTGAGACTACACAGTAGACGATGGATCGAGATTCGAATCCACAACCGACGACCGCAGTTTATGAAAGTCGAGTGCTTGAGTCAGGTAATGATCCGAATATCAAAGTAGGCTTCTGGATCTTTGTCTTGATTATGTGTATTAACTAACAATCTAATCGGGGGTTGTTGTAATGGAGTGTTAGTATTTTTGTTGGTTGTTGTCGAAGCTGACTAGAATGTGTCATGAGACAACTAATCACTTGAAAAGATTCCTCCTCACTGGGGTAGACACATAAGTCAAATTTAACTGTGACAACCGTGACTAAAATATACTTTATTATTCACAATACTAAGTGTATATTTATATACATGGCTTACACATGAATAGAAATTTAGACCATAAGTAGAGAACATTGGGCTTCGAAAGCACATCTCTGAATTGTTCTATTTTCTGCGGCCTTCTCTAGTTGGGCCCACGATTGCCTATAAACGCTCATTTCCTCCTTGGACGATCTCATCCATATCACTCTGGGATACCCCATTCATAGTTTCCCATTGGGATTCCACTCAAACAATGGCCTGGTGTGAGATGTCATTCGATAGGCTCCTCAGAGTATGTCCAATTTATCTCTACATTCTTCTGCATATTTTTTGAGCAGTCGGTTTCTATTTGGTTTTTTCCCAGCCAGAGTTTCTTGTTACTAATTCTTTCTGGTCGGCCAATTGATCGTCGGCATGAAGCCAAGAGCAGTTGTCCATAAAAGTCTGTAACCTCTTGGAAATGCTTTCTTTGGACGCGTGTGCCAAGTTTCTGACCTACATAGAAGAACAGATATAATTTGTGTGTTGAAAATCTGAATCTTGTGCTTTATCCTGAGTGCATCGAATTTCCAAACTGATTTCAGAGTGATAAAGGTGTTGCTTACCCTTCCGATTCCGGTTTTGAAATCTTCATTCGTACTGTCCGACTGTCTGTGGTTGAAACGATGCTTTCTGGCTAGATAAGTGAAACCTTTCCCCTTTGTTGGTAATTGGTGCTGGTTGTTGTTGCCGTTGCTGTTGGTTGTTCATCTTCATCACCTCAGTCTTCTCTATCTTCACTTGAAGTCACGTCTTTGCTGCCGACCTTTTGCCAATTTGTTGGTTTTCATCTGTTGTAGGTCCTCAACTCTTTCGTCATGGGATATAAATCATCCACACTCGAGATCCAGATCTTCTAGAATCTTTTTTCTATGGGCCCAGTGTATTCCTGTCTTCTCGCTCCCCACAGTCCGAAGCATAATCCAGTCCGTTACAACTAGGTATGTAATCAGTGATAATAAGCAGACTGTCGTGTCTTGCTCTTGTCTGCACTTCAAAAGCTTCACTGAGTTTTCCGTTGTGGATCACCTGACATGTAGCACCGTCATATAGTTGTTCAGTGAGGTAGATGAAAATTCGGGGCATTGCACTCCATGGGACTTGAAGCTATAGACTTGAAATTTCGGTAGCAGTGGTGTTTCTTTTTACAGGATCGGGTTGCTAGCCTCATTCCCCCTTTACCAATCTTGTTACCGGCTTAGGGAGGTAATGGAGTGCGTTCGCGGCAGGGGATTGAACCCTGAACCACATGAGGCGTGGTTGGCCAGCATTCTTCCGCTGTGCCACCGACGCACCCATATTGTTGAATCAGTTTCCAAATTACTTCGGCGTCTATGGTTTGAATCTTTATATATTCACGGCAAATCATGTTTATCCACATGTATAGGGGATGACAAACCGTCTGCTGTTCAAATCAAATCAATTATTTAGTAATTTGCAATGTACACAGTTCAACGGGTGAACTCTTCACCACAGTTTCCCTTGAGAAAGCAAATTATTCAGATCACTACAATATGCGATCTGCTTGATACTACCATAAATGGTACTCAAGAAAGGGAAGTATGAATGCTCGATGCTACATAATACTGATTGATTGAAATAAGTAGTTTTATACCAACAACCTAACTAGAAATATCGAGTGGTTTTGAGTTTTTCAGCCTTGTGGGTTGAGTTTTACCGGGTAAACCGCTGATGAGCTCGGTCCGAGAGGGCCGAAACAGCCGTCCGGTGTTTAGATCCCCCCGATCCGTCTAGCTAGCAAGCACTCATTTTATATATATATATATATATATATATATATATATATATATATATATATATATCATCTATTTATATTTTTCTTCGTTGACTTTTGTCTTTTTTATTAAGCTCAATAAAAATGTGGGATTTAAGACGAGTATTTTGTGTGGGGAGTAAAAAACAAGCAAAACCGAAAGCTATTTTCCCATATCGTGGTCCTTCACAAAAACAAAGCGGTAGGTAAAAAAAGTTTCTCCCCCTCTCCCTCTCTGTTTTGTGTATAGATTATTTGTACGGTAATAAAATTTGTTAACGTTTAAGATTTCAATGTGTCTGTAATATTTTTCATGCTAAAAAAAAGTGGTAAAACGTCCTACTTGTGTGTGTGTGTGTGTGAGTGTATCTGTGGCAATCATGTAACCAATAAGAGGTAAGTTATGTGCTAATGTTTGCTAACAACACTTGCTCGTTCAAATCCCTCGGAAAGTTGGGTTGCTGCCGAATCGGTAAAGTGTATGTGTACAGATTTACAGCTCATCGTATATGATATTTCTTTAGTGTAGTTGTGCTCTCTAAGCTGCTTACTTGCGAAGCTTTCATTGCCTTACTAGGCAACATCCTTAGCGCACACTTCATAATTTGAAGTGAGCTTTTAAAATTCTCCACAAGTTTATTAGTCTTCTCTACTGGAAGCCTTGAACGTGATTGGTTATTTTTGAGCGTTTCCATACCCTTTAGTCTTCTTGTATTGGTATTGATTGTTTCCTTGATCTGAGGTTTAACTTTTTGCGCATGAGATTTTTTTCTTATGAATTGGTAAATCTTGTCTATGTCAATTTGTCTGTTGATTGACTAATCGCTTAAATGTCAGGCTCCCAAAAGTTATCTGGCATCATTTGGTGTTTTCTTTGTCTAATATTTGAACGTTGTCCCAATCGAGTTGGTGTCCGCGTACATTGATATCAGTAAGTAGATATTGTGTTTTTTAACAGCCAATTTGTGTTCATGGGTGAAAAGGCGAAGAGGGTGCCCACTTTGATCAGTGTAGTGTTTTTCATAGTTGTTGGAATTTATCTTGTAGATGATGTTTGTTTGTTTGTTTGTCCTAGAGCCGAGTGAAGGTAACATCAATGCCTCCTCAGTTGCATTTCACTTCTGCATTCCTTTCACATATCATTAACTCAAAGAACTGGACTTTTGAAGTGTTCTTTTCTAATATGTGTATTGTTATTGTACCAAGGTGTTCGATGCTGGAATTAAACTAGTAACCGCTTAGTTTAAGGCTTTGAAAGTCTACACTTATAACTCACGATAGCACAAATCAGCTATAGTAGAAACAACACGAACAAGTTGTAATTTAAGAGTACAGTTCAAAGGTGATATATATATATATATATATCCATTGATATATTAAGCCGTAGTTTGCGATGAGATGAATTAAAAGAACTTTCAATGCTGCAGAATTACACATCTGTTTCTTAATCAGACCGTTACTGACACAGTGCACCAAAGATGGCTACATCAATGTGTCCATGCAAGTCCAATTACTCATGTGGAGCTAGTTATATAGGTCGAATTCAGGGGAGTTTATCTACCCGCGCTCGTGAACATGTTCTTGTTTGTCTTCGTAAAGTGTAACTAAATCAATAAATAGTGCCATTTTCATCTCATCTAGTAGATAGTGAACAGCATATCAAAATAAATGAGTCGTTTACGGTTGTATGCCGAGTACCAAACAGTTTCCCTAAAGGCATAGGATTACGTCTCCTAGCTATAGTTAAAACTATAGAGATAACAAGAAGAAAGCTGATCTATGTGTGCAATAAAATCACATTCTTTGTTTACCCCAGCTTAGTGTCTAAGGTCATCAGGGATGTAATCATGTCGTATTATGACTTCGTATTCCTTTTCACCCAGTGTTTACATCACTCCATTATTATCGTTATTACATATCAACCTTTGTAATTTACACTAGGCGTATCATGTTTCTAGTGTTTTATTACAGTTTACAATTTAACCTGTTTATTTTATGACTACACTTGATATTTGTCAGCTCTTGTTTGAACTGACATTCAGTGTTCCACACTTTTCTGTATTTGTTTGTATATATTTTGCGGTTAACATTTTTCCCACACCATTAAATATAACTCATCTCCACCCCCCAATGGAACTTACATTCTATTGGCTATGAATACACTAGACAAAGATTGAACGCTGCTGTTAAAAAGACTTTTTATACAGCTAGGATCATGGCAATTGAGAACGTGCAGTCGAAATATCCACTCAAGCCGTTTTAACATGAGAAAAATGATGTCACATCTCATTGTATTTACCAATTTGAATGTACGTATGGACACACACGTGTGGAGGATTCATCGATCTCTTCGAGTAATGGCTTCCTTCAGAGGATATTCCTTAATGGCTTCAGAAGCAAATAGAATCTTCAGAACCCATTGATGGTGAGAACAGGTGACCTAGCTCCTCTATTACGAAGCATATTATAGAGACAGGACATAAAATTGATGTTTACATCTCTTTTAAACCTATCTATAAAACGTCTTTAAGGCGTATCCTAAGGTTTGTGGAAGCCCTAGCAAATAAAAAGTTGAAACCACCTTTATGCGTTCAAAGCAACGATTTGTCATCACACTAAACCAACCTACTTTCCTTGGTAAACTTTGTTTTGATACCAGCCAGAGTAGATGTATTATTACCTCCGTTGTTTGGTTTAGTGATGTTCATTGTTATTTTGACCTTCAATATGATGACCTTTTAACTTGATCCAAGTTTCTTTTCTCACCTCCAAACTCTTTATTAATTTAGATATGATAGAGAAGATTTGTAGCTCAGGTGGTTGATTTTGATGTGGTTTTGTTCTCTGAGCTGGATGGTTAATTTGCGAAGCTTTCATCACCCTACTGGGTGACATCTTCAATTTGAAGTATGCGCTGAAGATGTCACCCAGTAGGGTGATGAAAGCTTCGCAAATTAACCATCCAGCTCAGAGAACAAAACCACATCTTTATTAATTACATATGTATATTCCTATGACAAGTTCGTGGCTGTGTGATCAGATTGTTCGAAATGTGTTGCGCAAATACACACAGCATTACACGATTCGGACAAATTACGTCTTATTATTGCTTTGTCTAAATTCATAAAGGGAACTAATTGTTTCAAAGTTATAAATACACTATTATGTCACCTTTTTGTCTGTTCACATTTTGTCTTATTTTCTGGATGACAGCACATTTTTTATACACTCATTTGACAATTTTAAATACCGTACTACCACTCCATCTTATACATGTGCCCCAAGACAGACAGTTTCTGATATAATTTTCACATACCTTTGATGGTTGGCTATTTGTATTACAATCATATTTATGGATTTATAACTGTTGAGCTTGAAAAGGGAAGAATTTATCGAAATCCCAACTGTTCTCTCAAAATATTCCTGTTTTGAAAACATAATTAATTGCACAATAGTTTGAACTTATTTGATAAAGTCTCATAGTTTGATTGAACACTAGTAACTAATGCGACGTGTCTAATCGTTTCTTTGGTGCAGGCTGAATTCTATCAGTCATTTAGCTTTGCAATGTGGCCACCGTTCTAGGTAGCTCGCCATCACGGTGCACATTGATTTGATGATATTAGATGGTTGGAGGCAATCGGCCACAGGAAAACTTGCCTGACCTAGGTTTCTTGCTAGTTGGCACTCACCTGCAGACAGAAGTTGGAATCCATGAAGTGGTCATTGGATCAGGTTCCAGTGACTAAATGGTCTATGAGGTCACTTTGTAACCGGAAGGTTGTGGTTTCGAACCCCAGTAGGTGAGTAACACCGAAGAGTCCCAGTAACTACAGCGAAACAGTTGTTCAACACTCTGCTGGTTTTTAATGAGTTCCTAATTTATCTCAAGTTAGCCCACGGATTGATATCAGTTAGAGAACAATTAGAAACCAGCACTGGAGTACTGGACAGCCTTTTCGTCAACCTAGTTTTGGACCCATCAACAGTACGCACTCCATCGGGTTTCGAACCCAGGACCTTCAGGTTACAAGGGAAGGCCGTATACCATTCAGCCACTGGGAGCTGATTTACTGGCTAACTTCTACCAATTCGTGATACACTTAGCGCGACTGGCACCGACCAATGTCATCAGAGGGAACCCCATCTTCACTCGCGATTACACGGACTCCATTGTTCACGACTTCTCAACAGAACTTCAAGCAACTTCGTCCTGTAGCCAGTGGCTATAGAGCATCAGATTAATTTTCAAGAAATGGTTTTGTAGGGATTCTCTATATGTCACTTGAAATGTGAAACACCTTTCACCAATACCAACAGAACAATATGGCCTACTGAATCATAAATCAGACAATTAAAAGGAGAACTATTCTGGTTGAATAATCACCAAGTGTTATACACATGCATATGATTAAGGTCAGCTAAATAAAAACTATTCCCTTCCCCCGTTCCCACTTTTAGTCCAGTATGGAGTCATCATCAGTGATGAGTAGGCATGATCAATCTATCTATCTATTCATGTAACAAAAAAATAATAAAAATAGATGAACTTAAAATATATGAACTGAAATTATGTCGACAAGTGTAGGAAGGAGAGAGAATGATGAAAATTGTGACTGAATGATTAAATCGCATGAAAAAAAAACGTGCAAATAAATGATAGGGATTAACATAATCACTTGCAAGACCACAGAATAACCTTTGACCTGACAACAAAACAAAATTCCTGGACATGTGTTCCATATCAGCCCGCTGTGATTAGTGAATATGTCTCTAGAAATATAGAAATAATTTATTCCCTTTGGAGGCTTAAATCAAGACAGTATAACATGGGACATAAATCTATCAATTTCACAAATGTATAAAGACATTACAATTTTAGGCTTGGTATTTTATGACAGCAGGTTCACTTATGAATTGTGACTCGATTATTGTTACTATTATATTATTAAGTATTTACTTTGGTTTCGAGTGGAACCAAGAACTTCAAGAGCACATATACACCTTGTCCTGTTTTCTTTGCAATCCCCTAAGCCAGCTGGCGACCCCACGATTTCTCATAAGTGTCCAACTCCCTCTCACACGATTTCCTCCGTGTCATCCTCAGACACTTGCCCAACTTGTTAGTTTCCATTCAGGTTCCACTCGAGCAGTGCATATATAAAGAGTAGTTGTGGAATTTTAAAGTCAAAGCCAATAGAC